ATGGGATGGAATCGGTAAAAAAGGGACAAATCTATTAAATTAATTTTTCCCTTTTCTACTGACTCCCCCATATATTGATATAGAATAAAATAGGATATATTAACCAGACAGGATAGAAAACCTTTCTACTTTCTATTAAATTGAATCAATTTCAATTAGGGTTGTTACCGTATAGCGCTTACTACAGTCCCCCTGGTAAGTATCCCCCTTTTATAGTATGGGGGCATTATTCAACTCCGAGTGCAGAATTTTGAATAATACCCCAGACACCTGATATCATAAGACTTACATGTCAAAGACACGTAGTTAGTGTGGAAATATTCATAATATTGGAGGATCAGAAATGCATCAATGCAATAAAATAGATAGAGATATCAATGGCATCCCTTCAGGCTTTGCTTGATGGAGCCATGATCTTGTCATAAGACATCTTCATGCAGGAAATAGTAATTTTACTTAGTAATACTTAGTATTGATTATTATTGATGTGTTACAAACCATCCAAAAGCCATAGTTTTGAAAGTGAATGCCCATTTGATGAATGAAGTCAAAAATTAAATGAACTTGATGAGAAGATGAAATTACAAACAACAAATACACTCATCTTTACTGCAAAATTAATTTCAATTCCAACTGACACAGGTACATTCTACATGTAGTTCTAAATATAACTCATTAATTAAATTCACATCGAATTTTTAGGGTTGAAAAGTGTCAATTTGTTTGTTCCAAACGAAGATAAAAATTTGCTTGTTTTTTTTATTGATTTCATTAATTTTTTCTTTTTGATTGCAAAACAGATTTAGATGAAATTAACGAGAATGAATACATTTCAAGAACAATTTCATGATGAAACACACTATTAGATGAAACTGGCAAGTATTAATTTATATATATGCATGTATTATAGAATCACATTAAAAGGATAAACTTATATCTTTTTAATTTGTTAGCATCAAAAAACATTAGCGTCAGAGATGATTTTATTGATCGATATCGATATTCTAAAACTTATTTTTTTGTGTATTTAGAGTATAACGATAAAGATAAAGGATCTTGTATAACAGAGAATGCGATAATGTCATTTTTGTTCTATCAATTACATAATTTATACATGTATTAACATTTTCATAAGCATTTTATGATTATTAAACTCAAAGCGCAATTAGTTGGGAAATTTGTGTATCTAAGATCCAATAAGCCTTCTTTCAAGAAACTTTAACTCTTTTCAAATTATACTGAAAAATACACGAGGTTTAATAAGAATCAATATATGAAAATACAAATTTTTTTAGTTATGCAAAACAAGACAATGTCCCAAACTTTTCAAATGTTTGAAATACTTGGACAAAGTTTGTCGTTTAATATCGATAATGCAAACAGTCTAGTCACATCGAAAAAGAGAGCATTGAATTTTGAAAATTATATATAACATATGTGTAATATTAGATAATTTTGCCAACATTAAAGATGCCGGCTTAATTTTAGCCAGCATTTTTAATAGTTTTAGCTGGCATCGAAGATGCTGGACATAATTTTGGCCAAAATTTAAGTGCTGAAATTTGAAACTTAATAAAAACAGAAATTTTCAAAATTATAAAACTCAAAACTTATGATAGTTTTCAAGAATCTGGCTCTATTAGTTTGTTTTTTGAGTTAAGATTTTTAAATACATGTAATAGAAAGTTTTTCAAATTATGTAGTACAATTTTTAATTTAATTGGCTCAAAATTGATAATATTTATTGGAGGTGACTAGACTGGTTGCACCAATACCTTATCACTAGAGATATCGAATCTTTTCGTGGTTTATAGTTAGGAGTTTATCGTTATTGTCACTACAACCCACTCTTGCTATAGTGAATGCATCTGGGTTATTAGAGAAAATTTTTAAAAATTCACTTACACAATTGATGACTATGTTTATACTTGCTGTCCAATTAACAAAACGGACAATGACAAGCCTTTTATAAAACTTGAATTAAATATCAAAATTTATTTATACTTATAATTATAATTATAATTATAATTATATATAAACTTTATTTAGATGAGAATTATTAATAAAATTAACTTGTCCAGAGTTTAGGATTTGACTAATTAGTAAATTTAATTTTTGAGTATGGCCAAATTATATTTTATTAAAGATTTTAATTTTAACAAAATTTAACTATAAACAATATATTTTCTAATTCAATTAGAAACATTAAAAGGTGTGAGAAATTCTTAATTTGTCCAGTTTGGACAGCAAGTATCGGTATATCATATCTACTCCAAAATTGTTATATCAACAAAAATTAGGATTGTTCGAAACTCTGTGCAATCTATACCCAATCGAGTTTATAATAAATTGAAGAGGTTGAATCCGATATTTATAAAAAGGATCAAATTTAAGTGTCTTTAAACACCAAATCATAAAAAAACATAATATCCTGCGAAAAAATCTGAAGTTATGGCTAGAGAAAACCAATAATACAAAATCAATAATACAAAATCAATAATTGTGCTTAAGACGCAAACACAAATGAGAAAATTAAGCTTGCAATTAATTAACTAATGAAGAGATTAAATATAATTACGAGAATCTTAATATTAAATTTCAAACGAAAAAGACAACTTGAAACAAGAAAACAACGAGCAGAAAATCGGATCAATTGAACAATTTATCGAAAAAACCTATGCTTGTCCATTTCCGGACTCGGCAGATTTCGAAACCTTTTTTTTTTTTTTTTTTTTTTTAGCATACTGTACACCTATGACATCGCCGTTCTCAGCTGATTTTCGAATACATGTACTTTTATTTATTTACCTGGTTCATAACATACATGCACACGAAAATTGATTGCGCATTCCTTATCACTTTCAGTTATTCTTTTTCATAATCATAGAAAGATAAAGAATACATTAAACTCGTGCATCTCCTATATCATTTTAAACACATTCATGGAAGATTCAGCTCTAAATGCATCTCTTCTATTTAATAAAGTAGTGAAATAAGTACGATATTTTTATTTATATTTTTGGGGGTGTTACGCGCGTTTAATATTGCTTTGCAAACAGTCTAAAAATTGTTGTCGGTAATTTTTTCAGTTTTATAAGTGCAATAGTAATTCAATGAGTGAATTTTCTCTTCAGTGGGATCTGACGAATTTATTGAATCATTGTAAGAACCGATAATGTTCTTTCTCTGCTTGGTACCACAATATCATTAAATCACACTTTAAGTTGCCTTTATACATGTAGAGTGAAAGAATCTTGGCTTAGTTTTGGTTTCACCCAAACATTCATTTCCTGTTTACTATTATTCTCACTGGTTTAAATAGAAAAATAGTCAGATTTCCATCCTAACTATTTATATAAATATTTGCAAGTTAGTCGATGGAACACTCGTGCTCAAAGTCTCCAGTAAAACGAGTCCGGTTTTTACCCCATTTGTTTTAGAAAAACAATAACTCAAAATTTCACTAAATAACGAACTTTTATTTTCAAGTAAAAATGCTCGGCGCAAAGTTTGGGTATATAGCAATCAAATCACTTATAAAAATATGTGTGGTTGAATTTAAGAGATATACAGTGGCCGAAACAAAAATAGCGAAATAGAATACATTGCCATTTAGGGCAGTGATGGTAAATTTTGAGGTCATTTATAATAAAATTGAGGTCATTTGAGGGTCATTTCAAGGTCATTTACCATCACTGATTGAGGGAATATCGACAGGTAAAGGTAAGTCAATTTGGTTCAATTATAACATATCTTCTAACAAAAAAGAAGATTTTTTTTATTTTTTTAGCGTTCTATTTAATATGACCGACTTGGTAGGCAATTTTAAAGGCGGTTTTTCTAATTAAGCTAAGTTGGCGGCTTCTAAAAATTTCTTGCATTACATATTGCCTAACCTTGTTTAATACTCCATAGACCCACCCCGCGCTTCTATGACCTTTTTAATCCTATTTGGCATCGATCCGTACAACTTTGTACAGTAATCGATATCTACGCTCTTCCACGCGATTTATAGTTTTTCCCACAATTCGCTTTGGTGGAAAGTGACCCAGGAAGTTGTCTCATGCGCGTATCGACCACGTTCCATAGGTTTTCGATTGGGTTTAGGTCGGGGGGACTGGGGTGGCTAATCAAAAGCAATGTCATTATCAGCGAACCATTTCTTTGCTTTTCCGGAGGTATGTCATTATTTTGCTGAAAGATAAACTCACTCCCAGGTCAATTTTTTTGCAAATCGCCAACGCCGTCAGCTGTCACGCAACCCCAAACCATAATCGAACCGTCACCAAATTTCACAGTTGGCATGATATGTCTTTCAACGGTTCGCCGGGTTTCTTCCAGCAATATTTTCGGCCGTCTGATCCAAAAATTTGGTACTTGTTTTCGTCAGAAAAATTACGTGTTGCCAATCGTTTCGGTCAGCTAATAAGTTAGTCGTTATTTCGTCGCCCACGCCAATCGTTGTTTTCTGAAGTAAGGCTTTGTTCGCTTGATCCTCGCGAATAAGCTGTTTCTTCGGAACATACGTCGTATGCTCTTAGCCGAAAGGTTAACCTCTAACTCATTTTTAAGCTCACGTTGGACTTCAACAGCGGTGGTACATTTCCGGAGTAGATTAATCGCAAAGCATTTCGTTCGTAGCGCGCTAAGAGAGTTAGTGGGCGACCGGGTTTGGCTTGTCGTCGAAACTTCCGATCTCTTCTTATGGTATATTCTATGAACGGAAGCTAAATCACCCTCTCTGATGCTGCAATTTCCCGGACTGAATATCCTTCCTGTCGGAGGGCGTGTATTCGGGAGCGTTTTTCTTGTGCAATTCGAGGATTTGGAGGTAAAAATTTGATTAATATTTGTTGCGTGGTATGGGAAATGTATTTTACAGTAAATGAGAATTCCAAAGCATTTGTACTTAGCTTTATAGCCTTCCATTCACTAGTATATTCGGTCATATTAAATGGATAAGCAAAAAATTAATAAAAGAAAAAAATAACAAATAAAAAATGATTTCAAGTGCTCAAAGAAAAAGAATTATTGTTATTAAGTTGTATGTAACCGAAGTGATCGTAGGCGAAGATCCGAATATAAATGCACTACTTGGTCCGGATGCGTAGAGGTGATTGCTTCTTTTTTTTTTATGATTCACTGTCCACGGGTAACGGTGCATTATCACAAAAGTGAATGAATGCATTATTTTTTTATGATTTTTTAGATTCACTGCCCCGGGTATAGGTGCATTACCACGAAAGTGGATGGATGCACTACCGTAAAGGTAGAGGTGGATACCACAAAGG